TCATTTCACTCCTCCAACTCCTTAATCACCATGTTGCTTATGTTTTTATGATAATACGCAAAGAGGAACTCTATGTGGTACTAAGTTACTCATGTATCTTATCATGCAATGTATAAAGTGTAAAATATTGTAGCAAATCATTATATATAAATGGTTATGGTGTGTTTAATCTTCTTTCATTAATTACTACATATTTTCTACACTTACAGTGTTATTAGCTCGCTATATAATCAACTTAAATCAGTTAAACCCATCATGCAATGCATTTCCTTCCTCTTTTTTTTTGGTGATAAACTAATAGATAATTGACTAAATAAACATCCTCCAAAGTTTCAATAAAAGTTTCCAAGTTTTTCTTACAATTTCCGTGGTTTTTATTCAACTTTTATTGATATCAATAATATCCTGATATTTTCATTGAAATTTCCGTGTTTTTGGACTAACCATATTTCCGATACCATCAATATTTTAGACCTTGGTTTGGAGTAATTGCTTTCCCAAGAACGGTTCGCCCACTGATTTAATTAATTTATTATTCCTAATTTTGAATTTAAATTTTTAACTCTGATTGCTAAAACAACTCACATATATATATATATATATATATATATATATATATATAGATATATATATATATATATATATATATATATATATAAATGCAATTCAGTGCTATCTGCAAATTGTTGAAGAGTAGTCCTTTGGCTTTGAAGCTTTGTTTGGCTTCTTCCTCTTTCCTTCGTTTGTGTCTGTGCAGGTTTTTGTTGGGTTTGCTTCTTCAATTTTTCTGACTATCTTTCTTTTTCTCTTCTTCTTTTTTAATGTGTCTTCTTTTGAGTTTTTGTAGGTAGTGTTTTGCTCCTTTGGATAGCCCTGTTCGGGTTTTTATTTTTCCGGTTCTGTTAAGTGAGAGGTAAGTTTCTTGGTTGGAATTAATTATTTTTGCTTAAGTGAATGAAGCATGGGATTGCTTATTGACTGAATTTATTGTTTTGTTTCTGTAAATAGAGAATAGCATTGCTTCTTGACAGAATTAATTATTAAATTATTTTCACAAAATTAGGTTGTGGGCATAGAGTTGATTGGAATTAATTTCCATGGTTCTGCTGTAAGTTTTGAATTAATGACAAGTTGTTTATAGATAGATGAGTATGATGAGTGTTTTGAGAAAAATAGGGAAAAAGAGAAAAAAGGGGTGGCTGAGTTATGGTCATCAGTGATTCTTTGACCATTAGTAGCTCCTTGATTTCTTAGTTTTGTTTTGAAAACCATTAATCATCGCAAGTCATATGCTTATAGACGATTATCTGATTTATGTATATTAGTAGCTCCTTGTGCAGGTTTTTGTTGGGTTTGCTTCTTCAATTTTTCTGACTATCTTTCTTTTTCTCTTCTTCTTTTTTAATGTGTCTTCTTTTGAGTTTTTGTAGGTAGTGTTTTGCTCCTTTGGATAGCCCTGTTCGGGTTTTTATTTTTCCGGTTCTGTTAAGTGAGAGGTAAGTTTCTTGGTTGGAATTAATTATTTTTGCTTAAGTGAATGAAGCATGGGATTGCTTATTGACTGAATTTATTGTTTTGTTTCTGTAAATAGAGAATAGCATTGCTTCTTGACAGAATTAATTATTAAATTATTTTCACAAAATTAGGTTGTGGGCATAGAGTTGATTGGAATTAATTTCCATGGTTCTGCTGTAAGTTTTGAATTAATGACAAGTTGTTTATAGATAGATGAGTATGATGAGTGTTTTGAGAAAAAAAGGGAAAAAGAGAAAAAAAATTCCCAAGAACGGTTCGCCCACTGATTTAATTAATTTATTATTCCTAATTTTGAATTTAAATTTTTAACTCTGATTGCTAAAACAACTCACATATATATATATATATATATATATATATATATATATAGATATATATATATATATATATATATATATATATATAAATGCAATTCAGTGCTATCTGCAAATTGTTGAAGAGTAGTCCTTTGGCTTTGAAGCTTTGTTTGGCTTCTTCCTCTTTCCTTCGTTTGTGTCTGTGCAGGTTTTTGTTGGGTTTGCTTCTTCAATTTTTCTGACTATCTTTCTTTTTCTCTTCTTCTTTTTTAATGTGTCTTCTTTTGAGTTTTTGTAGGTAGTGTTTTGCTCCTTTGGATAGCCCTGTTCGGGTTTTTATTTTTCCGGTTCTGTTAAGTGAGAGGTAAGTTTCTTGGTTGGAATTAATTATTTTTGCTTAAGTGAATGAAGCATGGGATTGCTTATTGACTGAATTTATTGTTTTGTTTCTGTAAATAGAGAATAGCATTGCTTCTTGACAGAATTAATTATTAAATTATTTTCACAAAATTAGGTTGTGGGCATAGAGTTGATTGGAATTAATTTCCATGGTTCTGCTGTAAGTTTTGAATTAATGACAAGTTGTTTATAGATAGATGAGTATGATGAGTGTTTTGAGAAAAAAAGGGAAAAAGAGAAAAAAAGGGTGGCTGAGTTATGGTCATCAGTGATTCTTTGACCATTAGTAGCTCCTTGATTTCTTAGTTTTGTTTTGAAAACCATTAATCATCGCAAGTCATATGCTTATAGACGATTATCTGATTTATGTATATTAGTAGCTCCTTTTTTTTCTTCATTTCCTTTTGAAAATAATTAATTATCGTAAGTCATGTGCTTTTAGACCATTGTCATCACAAACAGAATCTATATGTTTTTATTGTTCGCTCTTTTGATTGTTGCTTGATTTCATTTTTTGGTTTTTGCATTTTTTTTATAGGTGCTGTGTAATTGCTTTTTGGACTGTTTGATAGCTCTTCCCATTGCTGCTAGGCAACAGGTCAATTTTCTATTCGTCTTTTGAAGAGGTCATGCATATCAACTGTGGCTAATTGGTTATTGGATATTGTGTGCATTGTAAGATTCACAATTCTTATTAGATGTTTTTAATGTAATGAACAAAAACTATAACATATAGCCTGTTATTTGTGCCTTTATTATATTTCTATAGCCTGTTTATAGATTATTACTACTTTTATAGCTAATTTCTCCATTAGGTTATCTTATTTCTATTTATAGGTCATTAAGTGTTCGTAGGTTATTTAAATTTTAGTTTGTGCAGTTTATGTTGGCCTTAATTCTATAACAATAGCCATTGTCTTCGCCAAAATTTTCTCATTTGTCTACTACCACATACCATTTACCAAATTTATGGCAACAAAATCAACACCCCTTTCATTTGATTCTGTTCAAGCCCAAGTGTTTTGGTTTGATTCTCTTATACCTATTTAATAATTATCACAATTGTTCAAAATTTGTTTTCAATTTGTTCAATAGATTGAGTTTATACTTTTGTCCATCAAATTAATAGAATGTTTGATGTACTGTTGTTCATCATGTTCTATTTTTTTAAACTTAATTATGTCTTAATAGTTATTGCCCTTACTCAAAATTTTCCATTTATATACACTAACACCTACCATTTTCCAAATTTATGCCAGCAGAGTCAAAACGTCTACATATGAGAAAAAACGAAAACCACCTGTACAGCAGAGCTAGCAAGACCTTGATCCCCTTCCACTACCCAATACTATATGTATAAACACCTGTCCAAACTCTTTTGAACAATGAGCAACTAAAAGTTGCTCATATTTTGATGTTTTTGTAACTGCTTGATTTATTAAAATATGCTCAATATTTTCACCTAACGAGCAACGAATAAAACATGTTATTAGTTTATTTGCTCTAACTTAAGCTTGCTAAACTAAGCATGATACCATTATTTAGATGACTCAAAATTTTCCATTTATATACACTAACACCTACCATTTTCCAAATTTATGCCAGCAGAGTCAAAACGTCTACATATGAGAAAAAACGAAAACCACCTGTACAGCAGAGCTAGCAAGACCTTGATCCCCTTCCACTACCCAATACTATATGTATAAACACCTGTCCAAACTCTTTTGAACAATGAGCAACTAAAAGTTGCTCATATTTTGATGTTTTTATAACTGCTTGATTTATTAAAATATGCTCAATATTTTCACCTAACGAGCAACGAATAAAACATGTTATTAGTTTATTTGTTCTAACTTAAGCTTGCTAAACTAAGCATGATACCATTATTTAGATCTCCATGTTTATATAAATAGTACCATTTTCCCTGCATATTTTCAAAGCTTTATACACATTTCACACGATTTCAAAACCCGCAGCATCGCGCAGGCACCGTTACTAGTACCTATCTAATTGAATTTATGCTATTAATTACCATTACAATCCAGTTACACAGAAACGCTTAATAGTATGAAGAGAAATCAGATGCAATTACAAAATTTGGAAACTGTAAGAGCAGTTCCAGCAGTTGCCCCTTGCCAGGGCAAAGGGGGGG